CCTCAGCGACAACCTGCAGCGCCTGCTCGACCCGGCCTTCCTCAACTGCGCGGACGCCGAGATCGCGCTCGCCGCGGCCAAGGGCGGCGCCGCCGTCGGCGTCCACCGCTGCATCCTCGCCGCCAGGAGCGCCTTCTTCCTCGACCACTTCGCCTCCCTCCCGGCCCCGGCCCCGGCCGCGGCAGCCGCCGGCGAGAGGCCCCGCCTCGAGCTCGCCGACCTCGTCCCCGGCGGCCGCCACATCGGCCACGACGCCCTCGTGCCCGTCCTCGGCTACCTCTACACCGGCCGCCTCAAGTCCCCGCCGCAGGAGGCCACCGTCTGCATGGACGATGCGTGCGGCCACGGGACCTGCCGCCCCGCGATAGACTTCGTCGTCGAGTCCATGTACGCCGCGTCTGGCTTCCAGATCTCCGAGCTTATCTCCCTCTTCCAGGTACACTCACCGCTGACCAAACATATAATTTAGCTGCAAAATGTGTAACGGGACACTCCATTAACCCACTGGTGCTTGCAAATTGTTTGTCCTTCCATCCATGCTGTGACGAAAATTTGCAATTCTGACCACCACGAATTCTCCTGCTGCAGCGCCGTCTCTCTGACTTCGTTAGCGAAGCGCTGGACGAGGATGTGGTGCCGATTATTCATGTTGCTTCCACCTGCGACCTTCAGGACCTGCTCAATCAGTGTATCCAGAGGGTTGCGGTCTCCACTCTCGATAGCCAGTACCTCGAGAAGGAGCTTCCGGATGACATATACTGCAAGATCAAGGAAATCCGCCGGAGCACGTTTCATGGCGAATCATCAGAGAATGCCATTCTGGACCCTGAGCATGAGAAGAGGGTCAGAAACATCCTCAAGGCCTTGGATTCTGACGACGTTGATCTTGTTGGCCTGCTGTTGAAGGAGTCGACGGTGACCTTGGATGATGCATTCGCAATACACTATGCTGCAGCCTACTGTGAGCCCAAAGTGTTTGCGGAATTGCTGAAACTGGATTCTGCTAACGTGAATCTGAAGAATAACAGTGGATATACACCACTGCACATAGCTTGCACGAGGAGAGAACCGGACATCATTCTTTCGCTCGTGGAGAGGGGAGCCTCTGTGCTGGAGAGGACCCTAGATGGGCGTGATGCCCTTACTATCTGCAAGAGACTAACAAGCGAGAAAGACTGCAATAGGAAGTTGGAGAAGTACGAGGAGAAAAGTAAGGCTTACTTGTGTATTGACATATTGGAGCAAGAACTTAAGAGGAAATCCTTCATTTTGGACCCGATCTCTATAGAGGAGTCGATTGCCACACCTTTGTTAGTTGATAATTTTCACATGAGGCTCATTAACTTGGAAAACAGAGGTTTGCTTATAATCCCTCTTATCTTAATTTTTTTAGTGATTAATACATTGCATTTATAGTTTTCCCCATCCGCCTCTCTAAGACCACTAAAAGGCAATTAGTAGGGGTACTTGGTGGAAAATGGTGCATTGTAAATCAAAACTGCTTCTATTATCCTATAAAAAAACTGCTTTTATTAAGGAATCAAAATCAACTTCCTATAATGTTACTATTTATTTTAGATTGCAGGGGTATTTATCTTGATTTTACCATTTTGGCATTAGTCATATCTGCAGGAACTAGTCTAAGATTTGTACTCATGCATAATGATTTTAGCTCAATTTGTGCCACTGAGAATCTCTCGGTTTTTCCTCCACTTAGGTTGAGAAGTATATGGTCTGACTGGCTTAGTTAGCAGCATTCACACTAGGCTTTGTTTGCATTAATTCCATTGTTCTATCATTCGAATAATGTATGCATCAAAGATTAGTTACTGAATAACTATTTCCTTTAACTGGATAAAATAAGTTGAGTATGCTGTTATACTTGACATGATATAGAAGTATTTCTGGGTATGTGCTTCTGGTTTGCCTCTTTCTGATTGAAACTAAAGCATATTATTCTGAGAATCATCGCTGAAGTCTATATGTTAATATCTATGCAGTTGCGTTTGCACGAATATTCTTCCCTTCGGAAGCCAAGCTTGTCATGCGCATTGCACAAGCTGATTCAACCGAAGAGTTTGCCGGCATCACCAATTTCAGCAAACTAAAGGAGGTTGATCTAAATGAAACCCCTACAATGCAGAATAGGAGGTTGCGTGAACGCCTTGATGCCTTAACAAAGACAGGTGCCAGCAATAGCTATCTATGCCTTGTTTGTAATACAAAATCGTGCATGCATACTAACATTTCTCAATACTGAATCTTTCGGGGTATTCTTTTTTCTTTTGCCAAAACGCAAGCACACTTACCCATATACTAATTGTTTTCTCAGTACTGGTTACTGAATCTTTCAGGGTATTTGGTCAGTATGCTATCATTTTTAATGTGTTGTTTCTCATTTCTGCAGTTGAGCTAGGGAGACGATACTTCCCACATTGTTCAGATGTTCTTGACAAGTTCCTCAATGAAGAATCCACTGATCTGTTCTTCCTTGAAACTGGGACTCCAGAGGATCAGCGAGTCAAGAGAATGCGCTTTTCTGAACTCAAAGAGGACGTGCGCAAGGCATTCACAAAAGATAAGGCAGCCGTCGCAGCCATAGCTTCCTCAGCATCCTCGTCTTCATCTCCGAGGTGTGAAGGGAGGGGTAGATCCAATAGAAAATTGAGGCCATCTAGGTGATATCAGTAGTTGAGGTGCAATCTGTTCAGGACACATGACTCTGAGGACCGCGGCGAAGGACGGCTTTGTTGTATGTTGTTTTGACGACGCGTAGCGCAGTGAAGCAATAGGGCCCAGCGTGACGAGAATTCCCTGTAGCTGTTGTGTTTTGACATGTAACACTGTTTCAGTAGATAATTTCCACATGCTGATTGTCAGCTTTGCAGCCACTCTACTTGCCTTGCATGTTAAAACTGCTTTTGGGGTGGGAAATAGAACATTAGTGCTATTGTGCTAATGTGTCTGGATCCGCTCGTGGAAAATAGTTCTATGCCTGTCGATATGTAAAAGGTACATACTACGTCCTTATAGAACGACTTTTATAGAAACTAGAAGATTATTGCAGTCAAATAGAGGAATTTGGCAACCGTGTGTTTCAGTGGTTGAACTTGATAGAATTATTCAGTCTTTTACTAGTGTTTTTTTAGGCAAAATGGCAGGTGCAATCTACTGTCTACCTTCTCACTACATGGTTCTCCCAGCTGGAAGAAAGTTTGTTTCACTACATGGTTCTTTATAAAGGACTATTGAAATCATCTTGTTATCAATTTGTGCGAACTCTGGTGGGACATTCTCTGTTAGTATACGAAGATGTCACTGAAAGTAGGATAGATCCCTCGAAGAGTCCATATTTTCTTAGCTTTTGGCTAATAATAAGTTGATGACCAGAGAATCTGGGCAAAAGAAAACATGTTGAAGATTAATGTTTGTTCTGTTCTGAACCTGAATCCGTTATTCATCTCTTTTCAGTGTGTGTATTAGCAAAGTGATCTGGAAAGAGGTCTCAGAAATAGTCGATCTTCATTTAGGAGGAAATTTTGAAAGTATTGCTAGATGGTGAATTAGTAAGAAAAAACATGACATTATGAATGTGTGTAGGAGTACTTCTGCTACTTTATGGTCTGTCTGGAAAGTAAGAAATGCAATTCGTTGTCAGGGGGAGCTATGGAGGGATGTTCAAACTGTGTTAGGCCAGATCGCAAGGATGCTAAGAAGATGGGTGGTACAGTTAGAGGGAGAAAAAAAGATAACAACTGGAGAGCTACGCTGGAAAACTGTGTATTGAATGTGTTTACTTCAGCAGCACTCTTTATGGAAGTTATTAAGAAATGATTTGTGTTTTTAGAGAGTAGGATGGCAGAGTATGGCTATACTCCTGGGCAGGGTTGCGAGGTTGGCTCAGAATTGGATAATTCTTTTCCCGGAGGACAAAAAAGAACTGCTCCTGAACAAGATTTCGGAAATCGAGACAAGGATGAAGACGGTGTCATGGCTTTCAAGTTGGTGAAGAGATGCTTCATGGGAGAGTGCCAAGATCTGCAGCAAGCAAAGCTTCAAGCCTGACGACTTCAACTCGATTGTGCTCAAAGTCCTGGAGGTGGCGTAGGGGGAGTGGCCCTGATAGAGTTTCAGTTTGAGTTTCTAGTCTTTTAAGTAGTTGCTTTTCCCGGTCGTTTGGCTTGTGAACATTGGGTTACCCTGGAACTTCTTTGGTGGTTCACCACCGTTGATGCTGTAATGAACTCTTGTCTTTTTCATAGTGAAAAGACGGCGGCGTTTTGGCCCTAAAACTCTAAAAAAAGAAAAACTCGAGGAGAAGGCAAAACGAAGCGGTGCGGTTGCAGTGGACTGGACAAAAGGCACAAGTGGAGTCAATTCAGTTCATCAGCAACCCAGAGACTGTACTCATGTGATCCATAATGCAGTAGTTTTGGAACGCTGTCTAAATAGTGTTAGCTGTTAGGAACTCAGGATGCAGATGTCTTTAGTCCTTGAGGACTCCTATCCGCATGGTGATTTTGACGGGTGCACCTCAAATACGTATATACTGAACAAATGTTAGGCGATGAGATGCTCTTTGGAAAAAGCTAGACTACAACTGATTGGGAATTTGGGACCAGAAACAAGATGTGGTCGGAGGGAAAGGGAAGCACGAGAAATCTTCTAGGCGTGCGGTTGGATCGCGTTGACCGGATATGTGGCAACTATCTATGGCATGTATACATGAAGGCACCATGGATACAGTTTGCACCAAATTTTTTTCTACAACGTAAGCTGTGACGCTGTGTGATTGTTTTCGAGAACGACCAGAAGGTGAGGTCTATTCCAATACTCAAGAATAAATGCAGAGAGAAGTGTGATATAAGAAACATCGTCCACTTATTCAAATCGTACACCTACATGGGCTATTGTATAGAACATTAACTAGTTACAAAATGTCATCGAGCACAAGGACGCTAATCCTACAAGCTATAGAGAGAAGTTATCAATCCTACAAGCTATAGAGAGAAGTTATCTTCGAGGTTGGCCAGCACCCGTAGGATGGTGTCCACGATGACAGGATCCGCGCCCAGCAGCCTCTGCAGCTGCGCCTCGACCGGCCGTGACGCGCCAGAGCCGAAGATGTCGCCGACGAACCTGTACACCTGAGCGAAGTGCAGGTCGTCCGGAGACAACGGGAGCTGAACCGTCTCGACGTCCGGCGCCGAGGCACCATCATCAGCGCACCATCTGGCCGGGCAGCCGGTGAGCGGGCGCTGCTGCCGATAGCCGGCACCGGCAGAGCTGCGAGGGTGCGGCGCCGCCGCGAGGCCCAGCTTCTTCTCCGCTCTGAGGAAGTGCTTCTGGGCGTGGCTGCGTATCTGCGTGGCCGTCTTGGTGGCGACGAACGCCTGGACCCTCTTCCAGTCGCAGCTGAACACCAGCAGGGCGTGGAGGAAGCGGTCGTGCTCGTCGGCGGTCCACCTCTCCCGTGGCCTGGTCATCACGTACGGCTTCCGGGACTTCTTCCCCACCATCCCGGCCGACGACTTCACTGCCGCCGCCATTTGTTTCTCTGTCTTTGTGAGTCTGTGTGTATGGTATGGGTATGGGACGACGATGTTCTTGAGAGTCCTAGGCGAGCTTCTTTCCTTGCCAGTGATCAGTGTTCGAATGCATATATATAGGTTTGCGGCGACGAGTGCCCGGAATGGAAGCGCAGACACCGCGTGGTCATTGCAACGCACGTTCCAAACGAGAGCGTGGCTTGGCCGCGAACTGCGCGCGTGTTTGGCGTGTGCCGGCCTGCCGGTTAGACGTTCGTAATGGTGCGATGCTGGGGGTTTAGGCCGATCTGGGGTGTGGAGTTAGGCAAAACCATGGACAACGCAGCATTTCGATCCGCGCTTGCAACAGCATCCCATATTACCACCACGTGTTGCATCTTGCGTGTAGAAATCCTGCTTGATCTCTGCCAGCCTGCCACCGAGACAACGGAGCTCCTTCCGAGGAGCAGGTAGCCCTGTTTGGATCACAAGTCCACGGCGCCTAAACTTTAGTCCTACTAGCCTGTTCGGATCCACGAGAAATTTTAGTCGTTCATCCTACAATGACTAATTTGCTCCTCAATACCCTGCCGCTGCTCACCCCGCCGTACCCCCCTTCCATCCATTCTCCCAAAACAGCACTGGCAGAGCAACAGCAGCACCAGAGGCACCACCACCACCACCTGTCGATGCCGATGCCGCTCCCGCTCTCGCCGCACCAGGCGTCGCCGATGCCGTCGGCCCCAACGCGGTGTTCTCGGACCTCGCCGCCGCCGCGGACTTCGACTCTGATGAGTGGATGGACAGCCTTATCAGGGATGCACCGGTCTTCGCGGACTCCGACCTCGAGCGCCTCATCTTCACCACTCCGCCGCCACCGCACGGGGCTGGGAGGGCGAGCTCCGCTCGCGGCTCTGGAGGGCGAGCAGGAGGCATGGAGCGGCGCGCTACGAGCAGGAGGCGAGGGGCGGTGCGCGGGCGAGCAGAAGGCGCGGAGCGGCCCGTTGCGAGCCTGCGATGCGAATAGGAGCGGCGGCGGTTGTAGGTGGGTGGGTAGGTAGGGGGGTATGGGGTGTCCCGTGCGCCCCCCTATGAGTAAATGGACTAAACTTTAGTCCCTTAATTTGCTCACTTTTAGTCCACCTGTTTTGATCTTCATGATAAAAAAAAAAAATGAGCTAAAAGTGTAGGACTAAACTTTTAACATGGGATTCAAACAGGGTTGTAATAATGCTATTTACAATTGGATCAGCCAGCCGGCCTTCTAGTAGGAGTCAATAGGCATGTATTTAAACTGAGGCAATCGCCAATTATTTTTTCTAATATCTAAGTCTAGAAACCACAAATTTGGGTCCAAAATATAGCAAAAAATAATCCAATGAGACCCAACCAGGCAGCCACACACGGCGCAAGTCATAAGTTACAAGTTAAATGAATTTTTGCGCGATAAATGTGCGCTTCGTGGCCCCGGGGGCTCGACTGAGTCAAGGATGGGGTTGGACCAAGTCATGACGAGGTGCCGCGAGCACTTGGTGGACCGCTGGGTTGAGGACATGGAGGTCGGGCACGCGTTGACATTAGTTAGTGACGATGTGCACGAGGGTTTGCCAGTTTGGTCCTCAAAACTGGGGATAGACGAGTTATGTGGTTTGGGCCTTCAAACCATCAGAGGAAGGTTTGTTGGTTTGGTTCTCAAAACCAGGCATGAATGGTTTGGTGATTTCGGTCTCAAAACCATCGGCGTTGAATTTGTCCGGTTTTGGCCTCATAATCGGGGAGTGGCAGATTGGCGAACATGTGGTGGAATCTCGGAGTTTGTATCGAGACTAAGCGAAGTTGAGAAGGCGTAGGTTCCATTGGATCGATGAAGAAAAACATGGACCGATTTGCCCCTAGGGGTTTTGGGTTAAGTGCATCATGTAAGGGCAACTTGATAAATAGCCAAGTGCCTATATATATATATGAGAGATTACTGGTCATTGTGAGTACATAACTTGGGGAAGCCTTTGGATTCCTTCGAGAATTAGGCTCTCACTTGTGAGGTTGAGTGTTCTGCTTAGACTTAGAGGAGAAGGATAGAGGAGAGGCTCTTTGTTTGAGATGTGTGCCATCCAAGGTTTGTGATATGTTAGGAATGTCTTGTAATCACACATGATAGAGTAATCCCAAGATTAAATTCATGCACCACTTGTTCTCCTCTCTTAAATATGATATTTCTCTTTTTTGTGATTTTCGTGGCCATTTTTGGGTGATTTTAATGTCGTTGGTTTGGCTTTGTCTTTGGCAAATTTTTGGAAGTTTTCATGATCGTTGGAACGTATCGAAACCATGTCTTGATGCCAAGCCTCTAATCTCTTGGTTTCAAGCTCCAAAACTCTCCTTAGCCCCCTATGGTGATTTTCTTGGATATCTTTGAGCTGAAGGTTTTGGATTGTTCTTTGCTGATCTTTAGGTTGTATGATGCCTTGAAAATTTATCTAGCCACTAGTTTTAACTGATTTCTCATGAGCACCTAGAAATCATATCATTTTGTAGGATTCTGGACAAATATGAGAAAGAGATTTTGAAATTTCTATTCAAGTTTTGATCTTATTGACTTAATGTCTTGGCACAGCCTCTAAATGGGCTATTCAAGGTGTGTGCAAAGTTTCAAATTTTTTAGAGCTTGTTTGAATTGAATTCGAGTTTTTCTAGGAAAGAGATATGCTAAAAACAGCAAAAAACTAAGCTAGGCCGGTTAGCAAAACCATCCACGCCGGTTTTTCCAACTTTCTTTAATTTGAGCTGATTCTTGGTGGAGATATTTCTAACAGTGTTATAACGCCCTCTGCAAGATTTCATGCTGTTTAGAGGTTGTTTGACTGAGTTTTTGACTTTTCACTAAAAGCACTCTTTCTTTTGACCTCCGATTGCAAACACATTTTTCTAGCCTAGTTTCTTAGGTCCACAGTGTCGTCGTGACTACGTGATCATGGGTAACACTACTTGAGGGGTTCATTGATTGATTTTAGGACATAGCCAACATATTGCTTGTCTGCTCGGCGAGAAAAATTTGACGTTCCCATACACACTCTCTGGCCGTCGTTCTGATCCTTTAGAAAACATTGTTGGTTTTGGCAAATGTCGTCCAAAAACAATTTTATAGGTCCTATTCAAGGGACTGATTAGTTATTAAGTTGGGCCCAATTATAGCAGTATGAGGAGCGGAAGTAGATGATTTTGTAGGCGTGCCGCAGATTGGAAAATATGGCTGTGTTTTATTCTTATTTTGGATGACCTTTTATTAAGAACTGAGTTTACGAGCCGAATTTGTTTTGTAAACTCTATGTAGACGTGGTGATGATTTGTATAATAGTTTGATCAGATTACTCTCTAACGGAGATGGATGTTTTTTCTATCCATTAATTATCTAAAAAATTCAATAATCAACGATAAATGCAGAGAAAATTGTAATTTAAGAAGCACCTTCCAGTTATTCAAAACGTACACTAACTGGCTACAAAATGTCATCGAGCACATTCATGCTAATATCCTACAAGCTATAGAGAGAAGTTGTCTTGGAGGTTGGCCAGCACCCGTAGGATGGTGTCCACGATGACAGGGTGCGCCTCGACCGGCCGCGGCGCGCCAGAGCCGAAGACGTCACCGACGAACCTGTACACCTGAGCGAAGTTCAGGTCCTCCGCTGATAACGGGAGCTGAACCGTCTCGACGTCCGGCGCCGAGGCACCACCATCATCGGCGCACAAGGCCGGGCAGCCGGCAGAGCTGCCGCGTGCCCGTCTTTGGTGGCGACGAACGCCTGCACCCTCTTCCAGTCGTGGCCGAACAGCAGCAGGGCGTGGAGGAAGCGGTCGTGCTCGTCGGCGGTCCACCTCTCCCGCGGCCTGGTCATCACGTACGGCTTCCGGGACTTCTTCCCCGCCATGCCGGCCGATGACTTCACTGCCGCCGCCATGTGTTTCTCTGTCTCTTTGTGTATCTGTCTCCTCCTCCTTCAGGCCGCAGCAGCAGAGCAGGTATGGTGTGGGATGAGGTTTGAGACTTTGAGAGTCCTTGGCGAGTGAGCTCCTTGCCAATGATCAGTGTTCGAATGAATATATAGGCTTTCGGGTTGCGGCGACGATCGAGTGCCGGAATGGAAGCTCCAGAGACACCGCGTGGCCATTGCAGCTAGCGCACGTTCCAAACGCACGCGCGTGTTAGGCGTGCGCCGGCCTACCTTCAGACGCGCGTAATGGTGCGATGCCGGGGGTTTATGCCGATCTGTGATGTGGAGTTAGGCAAAGCCATGGACGGACGACGCAGCATTTCGGGCCTCTTCGATCGATTCCGCTTGCAAGAACATCCCATACTACCACGTGTTGCATCTTGCATGCAGGAAACGTGCTTGATCTCTGCCATTTTTAATTTTTATAATGCTATTTGCAGATTGGATAAGCCGGCCGGCCTTCTAGTATAGTATGTAATCTGTGCTCTGGAATGGACGTGACGCTCTTACTATCTGAAAGAGAATATGCGACCTCATTTTCACTCTTGTCTACTCAGAGTATGTATGAAACCATGGGATCCATCATGTTCAGCATACATGAGCTCAGGAGTCAGGATAGGGATGGTGTGGTGGGGAAGGATTGTGGACTGTTTGATTACTGCTGGGCCTGTTTGGAATAGGGACGAAAACGATACGGAAATATCCGGGACGGTACCGCATAGTTTTCTATATTTGATCCGATCGAATTCGATTTCGAAAAAAATCGATTTCGGTTTGAAATTCGGAACACCAACTTTGAAATCTGAATAAAAACGGTTTAGATGTTTTTTTGACCGTTTTCTACTTTTCTACTTTTAATTCGAAATATCCCGAATTCGAAATTCGGTTTAAACCGAATTTGGCCCACTAGAAGTCTAGCCTTAGAAAAATTGTATATTTTTCATACAATCTCGGATGAAGATGATTTTTATATAAAAATTGCAGCTCTCGACGAAATCTATAACTTTCTACTTTTTAGTTTTTCATTTGA